GATGGCACTACGTACGGATGCTGTCCAACACAAGGTTTGCTCTACAACTTATGCTGCCCATGTCTTCACGCCAAGTTTTCTGAGTAATCATCGGTTGTTTGTTTGCTGTGTTCGAAGAAATTACTTTTATTGTTGCGCTTACGTGTTACGTATGTAGATTGTATGGACACGGGGTTGATGTAAATCTTTGTTAGGAGAGAAAATCTATTTCCACTGGAGCATAACAGTGCAGGAGAGGCGCCGCACATCTTCAGAATATCTTTCTTTTGAAAGCTTAGCATATAATTTCGACTTCACACGGTTCATTGTTTCTGGATCGAATACCACTCCAGTTTGGACAGCAGATCGATCCGAAATGTCTTCCACACGGTTGTGGAAAGGTGAAGTCCCTGTGCGATGAGTAAAATGTGCTATTATAGCAAGCGGCGAGACCGGCGTTAGGGATTAGCATACTCTCAGGAAAAGTGGTAAAAATTGATTTTCCCGTTCGGTCTACTCTCCCCTCTAAAAGAAGAACTGTTAATAATTCAAGATTGTTATCTTTTATATTTCGTATTCGTTTTAAATAACTTCTGTTAACAGTGTTAATTATTCAAAAAGGCTTTTTTTCAGTACTTTGCTCTGAAAAATTTCTGACAGTGTCGTGTTTTGAAACAAACAAGTAGCTGAGTTACTTGTCTGATACTGTGGCGCATGGAGTTGTAGTTTGGAGTAAATGGTGCTGCAATAATTGTTCACTGTTTTAGTGTGTTGCAGCATATACATGTTCGTTATCCTACAAAAGTGGTACTATTTGCGGGCCGGCTGTAACACGGTGGTACTATGACTCGACAAGTCGCACCTGTCAGACGTTCTCATTCAATGGTTGCGATGGTAATTCGAACAATTTTGCAACACAACAAGATTGTAAGGACTACTGTCGAGTGGAGAGTTGTCCTGATGGTGGCCAGGTGCACTGTGTCGCTCTTTTTCGTTAGCAAATTCTTTTTCCACACATTTCTTCATTCAAGTAGTACAAAACAATATGCACTTCACCAGTAATTCGAAAACGTACGAAAATGCTGGCTAAAGCAAAAATATTCAGCCCTTGGAAAGAAACATCGCTCGAGGCGCTACCAGTGTGATAATGCGCTGTGCAAGACTGCAGTAGCAACTAATAAGCATGAGTGAATTTGAGGTGTGGAAGGATCCGAACGGAGCAGCGCGTGCATGTACGACGAATCGCCAGTGTCCATCTACGCACTACTGCACACCAGTAACTGCGTGGACAGGCAATGCGTACCAAACAAAGTCACTGTGTTGCCCAACCAAGAATTACGTATGTAGTCAGCCACGCGATGCGGGAGTGCGCTGCAGCTCAACAAGAATTACACGCTATCATTTCAGCTCTGACACAAAAACATGCCAGCCGTTCGAGTACAGTGGATGCGGAGGTAACTGTGGTGTTTCTCACTCAAACACTCTCCAGTAGGTACCATCGGTGTGAACAGATACGTGAATGAGCTAAGATTAACCGTGGATTTCAGCCGAATTTCCGGGGATTCCAGGCAGGCAGCAGCATTTCTCATACCTATACGAGAACCGCTGAAAGTGATTGTGCAGTCGTATTTGAACATTCCATCTTAGTTGTATATCCGTACTGCAATTTCTAAGCGCAAAAATTCCCTAGGTGTTGCATGTCCATAGGCAAGCCGAGGCTTTGAGAGAGCTAGTTCCACATTCATTTTAGTGAGTACAAAGATTTTCGGTGTATTTTTTAACCAGTTACATGTATTTTATTAGCCAGAATTTGCCTGTCAAAGTGCTCATGATTTTGTTATAGGATTTACAAAAGTACTGGGCACTTTCATGATTTGAATATCGCAGTGCCAAATGTTACCAAGTCCGTTTTATAGAATTCGTAAAAGGTACTCCTGTTCAGGTAACCGGAATAATTTTGCTAGTCAAAAATCATGCCAAAACTACTGCTTATCGGAAGCCTGTCCGCTCGGCACCGTTGTTGCTCGTGAATCAGATAACTTCCGATTAATTCGCTGTTCGGATGCAGGTGGCGCTGCTGGTTCATCTTTTGGATGTCCAGATGGTTATTCTTGCTACAGTAGCCCGCTTCTTGGCCAGAATGTGTGCTGTGGTGCTTCTACGGACCTACAGTGTTAGTTATGAAACTTATAGTAATAAATTAAAATCATGTAATACGGTCAAATTAAGAAGCAGAGATACGGAGGAAGGAAAAAGAGGAATATAATGAAAGATTTTTTTAAGCAGCGTACGCTACATTTTATCGTTATTTAGTAGTAGTAAAACATTTGTGTAATAGAAATGGAATATTTCCTA